GCTTGAGATCGTGATCGTGAAGATGTGATAAAGTAGATTGGAGGCGATCTGGCAAGCCAGAGCCAGCAGACAAGAACAATACAACAATACACACTACTTACCGGTATATTCAAACTTGTAATGTCTGTATGAATTGTATGAATTGTATGAATTGTATGAATGGTGAGCGTCAGAGAGAGAGATACATCATGCCTCTGGAGTTGTCTCGTAGACGACGGGTTTGGGCCAAGCATTCTCATTGGACCACAGGGTCTTGCCAATTCTCACGGAGTCCAACCAGAACTATCCCGTCCCTCTTTGCATATTCAGTCAGTCTCTGAATATCCATTATTGTCTAGCCGACTCTCCAATCATTTTCCTGTGTCTGTGGAGCTCTGGATCTGCATAAATCAACAGGTAGACCGCTCGATATCAAACTCGAACATCATCCCCCGTTGTGCTAAGCTTTGGGCCTTCCTGGCATTCTGCCACCAATCAGGCCTACACTGCACACAACCGTTCACAGCTTCCCCAGCCCTTGCACAAATAGGAATATCTCCTCGGGAAAGGGTGTTACCCGTACTTTCAGCCTTCTCGTTTGACCGCCTCCCCTCAACCAATTACACACAGTTCCGGCCAGCTCCCTGCAGCTCCCCCTCCTCCAGACACATCCACCATCGCCTCGCCTGAAGCCCCGACCCAACTGAAAACAACCCGGACCTACAACAAGCCTTCGAGTGCCTGATATTCACATCTGTCAATATAAATAAGATTTCCTCTCGCCAGTCGACCCTATCGATATCTGTTTTCACTTTTTTTTTTTTTTTTGGTTGTTGCCTAGCTTTGTTGGAACCATCTTAACCTTCGTTTGAGCTGTTCCCGCAACCTTACAACTAAGGAATAGCATGGACTCTCAGAGCATCAGCATCCCTCCTTACCAAACCCCTGCACAACCGTCACCAACTTCAGTCCCGATGACGCCTCAAGCATCGAATACGACAGTAGTGGGCGTCGAAGTCATGACACCAGTATCCAGTTCAGCACATAGTGAAATAGGGGATTCAGATACAGAAAGGGCTAGTTCGAGTTTACCACATTCGCCCTCTCCCCAGCCTACACTAAAATCCCAAATTCTTAAACCTATAATACCGGAAAAGGAGGTTCAAACGCTGATAGACTTGCCTGTCGACGTTTTGAAAGAGATAGTGAAAGAGGCGAGTACTCCATCAATCCAGTTCAATGTTGCGCACGACCAGCTAACAGTTCTGACAGGTCAACAACACAAACGACCTTGTATCCCTATCGCTTACATGCCGCTGTTTACATGCTTTGTCGACTCCACATATATACTCTCGTTTCGATATTGTCTGGCCTGACAGTAACACTGTGGGAGATCGTTCCGGCGTTGACGCCCTTACGTATGGATTAGCAACTCTAGTAGCAAGTGGCCCTAGAGGCAACAACTACGGCCGGTGGATACGAAAGTTTTCTCTCGGTAATGGTCCTGCAGAATGGGTGGGTGAATACAATATCGCGAAGGAGGGTGGGAAAATGTTGGGCACCTTAGTCAATCTGGCTATCATGAGAATGCAAAATTTGGAAACCTTTAATTGGGATATGCCAACAGGGGTATTGCGGGATATTTTCATGTCATTACATGATCTTTGTCCACACAGTTTGAAGAATGTGCATGTCCGATTTCATGACAATTCCGAGACGACGGCCCCGCTAAGTCAGGATCCAACTAGGAGGGTGGAGACACCAACCTTCAAGGGATTTAAGGCTCTGAAGCAGTTGAGTGTCTTGGATATCGATGAGAGGCAATATTTGGAGGAGATGGCGTGGGCAATTGAGGAGAGCGTGGATACACTCAGGGAGCTGAGGGTTGGTCTAGCAGAGCATGTTATTAAGAGTGGGACGTGGATATTGGATCTTGATGAAGGGCCAGGGGACGTGGCGGATGCAGCTGTGGGAGGGGCAAGTGGCAGTGCTGTTGGAGGCGTGATGGGAGTATTAGTGAGCAGAATATGTCAGTTGACTGCACAGCGGAGGAAATTGAAAGCAGGGGTGGCCGCAGGCATGGCATCTGGTCTCTCGACCGCTAGCGTGAATGCTCTACTTATACCCATAGAAGGTGAGATGAGTGCTTCCGAAAATGGTCAGCCCAGTGAGGCCGTTCAGTTAAATCAGGCTGCACAAACGCATGTGCCTGATATCTTTGATGTTGCTGCTATAGCAGCTGCTTTGCCTGGACCTTTTTCGAATGGAATAGCTGAGGCACTGTCTATGGGAAATGATCCAGCAATGTCGCTTCCAGCACCATGGCCAGCGGACCTGGGGGGCTTGGAAATATTCGACTCAGCAGGGCCATCTACCGCAACAAATACAGCAACAAACACGGAAATAAATACAGCAATAAACACGGCAACAAAGACCACAAAGGAATCGAAAATACAAATAAACGAAGAGGAAAAGCCTTCTAAGCAATTAAAACTCGATACGCTCGATCTCGAGCGTGTACCTTTATCGGTTCGGGTATTGCAAAAGGTAATCGACTGGGCCATTCTCACAAATCTAACCATCCTGAATTGCCCGAACCACGAGAAACTATGGAAGATGCTCAGGAGGAAGTTCTCGCCATATTCATCCCAATATTCTATATCCTCGAACTCCTTCAATGCAGGAGTCACCAGGCCTGGCATGCGCCGGCAGGTTACGCACCCTGTCCAGGTTCCAGAATATAAGATCCGGTTGAAGAAGTTGCATACGGACTTGGTGTCGCCTTCCTTGATTGCGTTTATTAATGAGACGTTGCCGCCAAATACATTGGAGGTATTGTTTTTGCAAGAAAATCCGCAGACAAGTAATACTCCAACTGGATATTCCTCGCCTGTGACGACTGACCAGGTCTTGAAATGCTGCATTAAGCGGCATCGGCTTGCGTTAAGAAAGTTCCTCCTGGATGCGAATGTAGGCACGCAGGGGGTGTGGGAGACTGATAAATGGAAATTTAATAGAGAGGTGTTGAGTTTTATTACGATCCCTGGAAAAATGCCACGGTTAAGAGAGTTGGGGTTCTCGATAGATTACAAGGACTGGCATTTCTTCCTTACTAGGCTACCGGGGCTTGCTGGGTTGAGGAGCCTGTACCTTCCATCTGTCAAGGGGGCAGTGCAGATGCCGCAGCTGGTATGTAAGGAGATGGCGTTACAGGTCGTGGATGTTGTCAGCCTTAGAAATGAGGTTGAGATTTGTTATGTGGGGATTATGAAAAAGTGTTTTGAGCTGCTGGAGGGACGGGATGCTGATGTTGATGGGGTGGGGGATGGGATTGGGATGGGGGAGTTGGGTGATGAGGAAGAGGATGAGGATGGCGGGAGTGATGAGGATGAGGATGAGGATGAGGACCTTATTAATTTACAGGGAGAGGGGGAGGATGAGGATGAGGAGATAATGGATGAGGATGAGTTAGATGAGGAAGGGGGTGCTGGGGGACATGCATGGGGGGAGACGGGGGTGAAGGATGAGGAGGGTGGGGATGATGTTGTGGAGAGAGGTGGGAGTAGACCGGAGAGAGATGTTAAAGTGCAATTGAGGGAGATATTGTTTTATGACGATAAGGTTGCGGTGTTTAAGGCGAGAGGGGGGAGTCTATAAGTTTTATTTTAGTGGTTACCGGGGTGCGATTGGAAGGCTTTTTTTTCTCTACTCAACTCATTTTTGTGCGGATTATCGTTTTATCTTAGTTTTTTTCGGTTTTTTTTTGCGTGTATTGTGTGTGTATGTGTTGTGTTTTTCCTTCTTTAGTTTCACTAGGAATCTCTACACGGTTTTTTTTTTTTTTTTTTTTGTGGGGTTGGTGTTATTTGGAAGTAGTATATGCCCGTGGGTAACTGGCAGGAGGGTTTTATTTCTTTTTTCCTCAGGCTTTTGGGCTAGGCTGAGCTCTGTGCTCTTTGCTCTTTGCTTTTTGCTCATTGCTCTTTGCTCTAGGGAGATTGGTTTGTTGGTAGTTGTAAGGTACATCGGCATAAGGCAGTTTGAGTTTGATGAAATGGAAATTAGTAGTTTTATGTCTGGCGTCGTGTGTGTTGATGCACTTGTAATGATAAAGTGTGGTAAGAGGATTCAGGGTAACGGCATATTTGCACTCACATCATGCCAATTCCAGTCAGGAAATTGTACTGTCCTAACTAATACTCCTATCTAAATATTAATGGCCGGCTTAATGATAATAATCTGTGCGTGACCATTTTTCGGTGAGGGGGGAATAGAAAAGGATCTTTTATTTTATTTGTGTGTTGTATTAAGAGCATTCAGGGTACCATCTAGAATCTAGAGTGTGTACATTAATATATTCAGGTTTGTTGTGGAATCCAGTCCATTACAGAATCAGTAGTCCATAAAAAAATTTTCTTCAGATGCAAACACAGCACTTAGGTTCCACTCTATCTCTAGGTAGTAAATGAGTAAATCTCGCTAAAATCAAACTCAAGAACGGAGTATCATACTCCGCACATAGTGAACTAACAAAAGGACTAACTACTATCTAATATTCCTAACTTGAACGGGGCCCCCCAGCAGGCAAATCAAGCTGTCGATGGAAAGGAATATGAGCTGCGCAACAATGATGCACTGTATTTTATTTACTGGCAAAGAAAAACAATAATGGGAAACGAGTAGTTTTTTTTTGGTGGGGGGGAACATGATGTATCCGATAGAACATATTCATGATAAATTTACTGCATGCAGGAAAGTACAAAACTTATATAGTACTATTAATGAGAAGGTATCATGGAAATTTCTAGCAGTGAAGTATGAGGTTTGATTGAACAAGTAGATGTTTTGAGCAAGCGGAGGTTTGAGCTTTTTGTTATGTATAAAAATTATTAGACTCGAATTATGCCTTTCATACATTGCCCCAATTCCGCAACGGACCAGAACATAATAAGAGTTTTGCACGTATGTATTTGCTTAAATAATATCCAAACTATGGATCGAGATCAAAAAAACAACAACTACGACACCGACGGGATTCGAACCCGCGATCTCTGCCAAATCCATTACCGGAAAGCAGCGCCTTACCATTAGGCCACGATGCCATTGCATGTTTACAAATATATTAGCAAATTAATCAAATAAACAATAGTACAAGGGGTTATATGCAGAAACCAGTACATGGAGCTATTTGTTTCTCTATATCAGTTCAATCCTCTATCTATAATTCTCTATCTGTAATTCTCTATCTGTACAGAAAAACCAAAAATCTTTTCCTTCTTCCAGTTTGGTAATCTTGCCTATGCACCGCATGCAGCTTGGCATTATTCATCTCCAAAACGGATGGAATGGCAATGCAGCCTTGTAAGCAGACCACAGCCATGTAGTGATAAGTACTGTACTGTGATTGAATTTCAATATTTCCAGATATATATATAGAGCATAGTGTATACCCGACAGAAGAATTCCTATCACCTCGCAGCTGAATTCAAACAAATATAGATAATCAATTGGTCGACTAATCTCCACCTCACCTCCTTGTTGTCTCTTCCATTTCTCTTCTCCCCGGACTTCCCCCCGCCCCCTCAATGCGCCTCAAAAACTCCAAAATTAATCTTCTTCTTCTCCCCTAACCAGCACCCGCCCACACTATGGTCCCACACCGCGCCCTTATCCGTATTCGGATGTATTAGGACACTCAATGGCCCCCTGTTCACCACAAGCCATGGGACAAACGCGCCGAACTGAAGCGGTGTGAAGATATTCACTTCAAACATCGGGAGCGGGTGTGGCCCCATTGGGTGCTCCCAGATTCTATATATCCTCAATTCGGGAACTGGGAAGACTTAGCGATTGTAGGGGTGATAGGATATATAGATGATAGTGCGGAGCTACATACATTCATACCTAATCCGTTCCCATAAATGCCTAGCGTACAGCGCCTCAGTGGCATTTTCGTGCGGAGGGGGGAAGTATATATGCACGTCCCACGCCGCTAGGGGTCGTTCTACGCCTGGAATGATCTGTGATGGGACGGTACCGGTAGTGAAGGTGGGGGAGGGGAAGTGCGAGTAGTATTCGCTGAGATGGGGGCGCGGGGGGTTGATGTAGCTGCTGCCATCGACGGCAGATTGCTCACTGCGGTACGTGCCGCGAACGGTTAGTACGGGTTTTTCCCTAAGTTCCTATGGAGTGCGGAATTTAGACCTACTCAGGTAGCGGAGGAAGGTGTTGGTAAGAGGAGAGGAGATGTGGGTAGGGAGGGTAGGGGGAGGGAACGGGGGAGGAGGAGGGGGCAATAATTGCGGTTGGGGCAGTGCCGGCGAGGGAGGAGTGGACTTCAAGAGAGGGGAGGGCAGGAAGGGGGACCGGGGTGGGGGCGTCCGGGGGTTCTGCCTGCATAGCGTGCAGTAGGAATAGGTAGACGAGGACGGGAAATATATAGGTAACTGTTTCCCAGAATCCAAAGTGGAAAACAAATCGAGGGATCAATGAAAGTATTAGGATTAATTGAAAATCGGAGGCCAGTCGGTAAGCAGACTGAAGATGGTGGAGTTCTCAGCGTCACGTCATCAAGGTCCCGTGACGCGGCACACTGCCATTCTAGGAAGTCTCGTAGCGGTACCCGATCAAAGTCAGGGTAACCCCTAAAGTCTATAATCAGTTGCCCTCAAATAAATACTATTTAAATATTTGTCTTACTCGCAATGCTCAGATGGACAAATACCGTTGGCCACCTCCCATATGCATGTAGGATTAAATGATATTAGTCTCCACACGAGGCTGTTTTTGATCATACATCTGGAATTTAAGCTCACATTTGCCCAGCTCAGATTGAAATTACGCTAGCCAATAACTCGAGTCTCTACGCTAGGTGGCAAAATGTTCCGTAGTTACCCTTTGCATATGAGGCTAATGCACGTCTTACATTTAGCGCGCATAATTGAGTCTTAGCCGCGCATAGATATGCAATGGATTCGGTACTTTGTATACTAACCCTCCACCTTAATGAGCCACTACAGCGAGGTACTGTACCTAGAGGCTCTCCAATAGTGATTCCGGAATCTCCTGCCCTAATCTCCTGCAGTGCATCTGCCAGTGCTTCCTTTACCACTACTGGCCCCCCAGGCATATTAATTAGGTGAGGAAACCTTTTGTGAAGTTCGGCGCCCACCGGATTCAAGTCGGGAGAGCAAGCACAGTGGTCAGCATCTACCTACCGGTAGTCGTTATCTTTGGACCATTGGCGGGCAAGCTTGGAGGTATAAACTGACAAGTTGTCCTGCATGAAAATTGGATTTCAATTCCTAGAGTTTCACTCACCTCCAGACGGATATCAGGAAGGATGTGTCTTAAGATCTCAATGTAGTTGACAGCAGTATTTCGTTCTTCATCCAGAGTCCATAGATATCCTAATATTGATCCATAGAAGCAGCATTTAGGACAGCTGCTTGTGCTAGGTTGGAGAGGCGGCATTAGGGAAGGCGTCCGCTTGGACTATAGAGGCATCAGCTTGAGTCGACATGAGAATGATAAGTGAACTATATACGATGTCAGAGGATTTTTCCTCTTGTAACATGGATGTCGCGATATTAAATGTTGTGGCTACTTGCGGGGCTGTTGTGCCAACAAGACTAGTGACTACGTAGTAAACAAACTTGTGATAGGCGCGATTTGATACAATACATCTGAATCAAGCGCGCTGTATGCACAGGCCTTTTATGCAGGGTACGAAACATTTTGCCACCTGGCTGTATCGTAATTTATATATACCAGCAAGGCCAAGTAGAAGGTGGTCAAAAAGTTACAGGATGAGACTACTTTGGCGGGTTCTGGTGTTAAGTAGTCATGCCAAGATTAATGGCACGGAATTATAACACATTATGCCATCTGATCGCATTATACAAATCCTACGAGAGGTGTTGCAACCCGACTATATTATTATTATCGTCCTCTTCCACAAAATTTTGAAAAGAGATCAAAGCATAAAACAAAAAGACAGAAATGAAAAACCGAAGAATGAACATGAATACTGCCTTACACGCCCACCCTAACCACCCTTCCTACAACTCCATCCAAGCCCCACCCCGCACCCTGCCCACTCATCACCAGCACCTTTGCCCCAACCTCCACCCACTCATTTCCTCCCAAAAACTCAAAGGCAATAACTACCTTCTTCGCCTCCTCGTTCCCACCATCATTCTCAGCGTCTGCACCCACATCCTCAAAGCCAAAAACATCCACCTCGTCCTGGGGAGACTTTGCCTTTTTCCTCTCCTTCGCAATCTCCAGCCCATGTGTATCGTCTTCCACAGAAGTAGAGAATCCTGCAGGCGTCTCAACCACCCTCGCAGCAGCGCGGATACTTGCACAGTAGACTATTACATGGGTTCCGATTGCCAAACTAGTAGCTGTTACCCCACCCTCATCGCCGTCATCGCCGCCGGTGAATTCTGTTATGAACCCACCATATGCTTTCGGCCACTCCACTTTTCCTTTGGCCCAGGCTGGGACTGACTGGTTAAGAACCACCATTCCTTTTCTTAGCCGGAACTCTGGAGGCTGCGTGTCATCATTCGACGGGTTTGATACACCGTCCCCTGAATCCATATTTCCGATTAACGTCATTGGAGCCGCAAAGGAGACTGCCTTCAATGTACCAGATGGTGTCCCAGTCGCGGGATTTTGCACGGCCGCATTGATGGTATCCTTCTCATTCATAGAAATAGGCTGCACGTCCTCTCCATCCGCCTTAAACCCATTCTCAGTAGCCCAATCCACTCCAAGCAAGCTTACACCTCCATCCTCTGAACTATCTTCATCCGAATCTTTCTCTACCGTGGTCTCAACTTTGATTTCCGGGGTATTGGCTTCAAATGTGTTACCAAAATTTGTAGCTGGTGGTTGATACGTCCTCAAACAAACCAACCCCACTGTTCCCACCTCTCCTTCAAACAGAGTCCCCACGGGGAGCCTCAACCTCCTGACACTCACCACTCTTGCAACCCTCCACTCCTCTGCCTGCTGCTTTTGTTGAACCACTTCCACGTTGACTACTCCCCCGCTCATCTTCTTCCTTGCATCCCCCTTCGCCAACGCTGACCTTGGCCTTCTCAGTTTCCTGTCATGGTGGGGTTCATCCCCACTACTGACCCCAGTGCCATCCTCATCGCTCAGCCAACCTCTCTTCCCAAGTGACCCCACTGAGGATGCTGATAGGCAGGAGCTATGGCCAGGACACAATTCGGTGGGACCTTTCTGCTTATATGGGAGCGAGCCTGTAGAAACAGATCGCGTCATTCCCACACCACATGATCCCAGATTTAGCTCGGTAGGTCGAGTAGAGAAAGGGCCAACAACCAGCTCATCGCCAACAGAGACCCGGCCATAGCGGAGATGCCCACTAATAATAGCTCCTTCCGGGGCTTTAGGGGGTGTAGGACCACCAGTGGTCATTTCTGGGAAGAAAGTATAAGTGCTAGGCAAGGCATAAACTTCTTCAATGTGAAATAGTGTTTCGATAGGCTGTGTGTAGTGCTCTTCCTCCGTTAATCTATTGTGAATTGCCTTGTCCTCTACAAGGGCTTTATTTGCACGCTTATCCATGATTTTAACCTGCCCCAACCCCTCCATAACCTCCTCCAACGAACTCCCTTCCACAGGCACTAAGTCCGGTCCACATATCGTCTCTAATGTCCTTTCCCTGGTGTCCTCTTTAGGGATTGGCAGCCCTCTCAATAGCGCATGTATTGTTCCCAACCCCTGGCCATTACAACTGCTCGTGAACACAATAGGCACGACCTTCCGTCCAGCACCTGGACAATCGCCGTCTAAAATATCAATCTTATTAACAACTTTCCTAACTCCCTTCTCTTCTTGGTCACTCCAGCTGCTGAAGTGCCTCTCTGGGCTATTGATTGTCTGTGGGTCCCTTCCCGCATCGCGTAGTGATCTCAGCACCTGCTGAAGTATAACCCTCAGGCAATCCCTGCGTGCTATATCCAACTTTGTTATCAGTATCACAAGCCTCAAGCCCAGCTTAAGCACCAGCTGCAGATGCCGTTTCGATGCGTCACTGAGCTCTGGTTCATCCCCGGGAATAAGT